GTATGGGAGACACCCAGCAAGTCCGCAAGCTCTCGCGATGTTTGCCGGTTGTTGGCCTCCAGTGCCTCCTGCAAGGCAGAGTTATCAAACTCCGAAGGACGACCGGTGCATGGCTGGTCTTCCAGGCTTTCATTTCCTTTCTGGAAGCGACTGTACCAATCATAGGCAGTGCTCTTGGACACAGTGTCCGGGCCAAACGCGGTATTGATGTCAGCGATGGAATTGGCTGCCTTCTTCTTGATTCGGAAGTCATAAAGAAGAAGCAGGCGAACTTGCACCTTAGTAAGAGGGTAGGGCTGTTTCATGGCTGGAGAGCACCAGGGCTGTAATAATATACGGTTGTATGCCGAAGGACACGACCTACTTATAAACACACGCAGAACATTCAGGAAAAAAATTTCACGCAGGAAAAAAATTGTACTGGATATTCAAGAAATTCCGAGAACTTTCTTTCCAATCAGATACAAAGAAGGTGAAACAGCGCATCATCATGAAATTCCTGGCCAATGAGAAAATCAAGTCTTTTGAAATTTACAGACGATTGTCTGCACAGTGTGGTGATGATTGCCTGGGGTTAACAAGACTGCGAATACAAATTCTTCCACAAATGATTATTCTATATTCGTTACTCTGTCTTGTGTAAACAAAAGTCCTGGTAGGCCATGAACGACCCTCGTTGAAATCTAGTGACTTTGTGTATCCAAATGTCAGTATGTGGAGAGGTCATACTGTTGCTCCTCAATTGAAAACATGCCATAAGAAGGAAATACGGATGGCTGGGGATTTTGCCTTCTTTTTTTGCGGAGATCGGGATCGACAATTTCGACTGATATTTTGGTTTCCAGTCATGGGCTGAGCACGACTTAAAAGGGGCCTATTTATATCTGATTAGGAAAATTCGCTATGTGCCTGCCTCGACTACATATGCAATGCAACCAATCTATTTCAGTCGGTACTCTCAACTATAAATATAGATTGTGAACACTTTAAGGCATTATGACTGAAATTCCCAGACTTTCTTAATGTCAGAAGTTTTTCAGCTTTTAGGTGGTTTTTCTTCTCAAAGCCATGTTTTTACAGGGGCTACACGCAATCAGTTGGTCTCAGACTCCGTCGGGAGTTGAGCGTTAAGGCAATTCAGGAATTTACCCAATGTGAGGTTCAGGTATACTGAACGCTTGAGGAAGTTTTCATTTTTTTTACAGAAGAAAAGGAAATCGTGGTTGCAGAAGCAAGAGATGAAAACCTTGCAGTGGACATTGAAAAACTGAAGAGTTTCCTGAGAATTAAAGGAGAAGGAAAACACGTCTTGATAGATGAAGTCCCTATCACGCTTGGGTTCAAGGACGGGTAGTGGAGGCTTCCGGAAAGTCTAGTAACCCGTACCTAGTTACTGAACCAGGTCCTACTGTTCAATGTATTACCGAGGAGTTTCTACTTCATAAACTTCAGGTAGTGGGAGAAGAAATCTGGGTTTGACCAGTCCTACAAGAGGGATTTCTCTCTTAGAGACGTCAAACCAGGAGGTTTAGAAATTGCCATCCTCAACCAAGTGAAGAGGAATACTAAGCATATATCTGAATTGTTTATTTCCGTAGGAAATTTCTCGAGACGCGTATTTGTCTCATCAGAACGCTCCTTGAAAATTGAAGGGGAGAAACCAGGTAGAGAATGCCTTCCTCGCTTCATTGAGATGACATCTTGCCAGAAACTTCATCGTGAATGCAAGGAGAAGCTCGTTTGTGAGGTTGTAAGGGCCTCATACGCAATTTATGAGGAATGCAAGGAGGCACTGGAAAACAGGCCTGTCTTCGTTGTCGTTGATGAGGAGTTCAGAAGAGATGCCGTCGTCAATATATTAATGTTCTTATACCCAAAACTCCCTGTCCATTTCTATTGGATTAACGATATCCATGGAAAGCCTGCTCCAAATGGTACTTTCCCCCTCGTCGTCGTCACTGAGGAGGAAATGATGGGATGTCACCCTTTGAACGTGACGGTAGTTCTCGATTTCCCCAGATCGCAGTGGAAAAACTACTGTCGATTGATAGCGACAACTGGAGGAAATAAAATAGTCGTGGTCGAGGAAGAAGAGTGGAAGACGGGCAAGTTTTCTCACGTTCCGATGGAAGTAAAAGAAATGGGTGGATGGAAGATCGAGAAGAAAAACATAGATGAAATAGATCTTGCTGAAAAACTTGAGGAAGCGTGCCTGATGTATGAAGAGAAGGACATCGGATATCTTGAGGAGGCCGGCCTTGATCAACAATCCTTCCCGAGAATAGATTTGGATCAGGATGGGAAAGAAGGAAGAGAAGATGAAGACGTAGAGAAGATGCTCAACTGTCGACTCAGTAGAATATTCGGTTATCCAGCCTCGGGAAAATCCAGGAAAGTAAATGCCTTGATTGGACGAGTGACTTGTGGAGTCCTCCTTCTCCATTGCGGTAGCAAATTGTCTCGTCAAGTCGCCGAACATCGATGGAGGGGGAAGGCCAATGTAAAGGTCTCCGCTAAAGACTTCTCATCACTGAAAGACATTTTTGACGCGGTGGAGAGGGAAAAGGTGGAGAAGAAAATGAAAACGAATGTTAAAAATATCCATTTTGGAGGGAAGAAGAAGATCGAAAGAAGAAGAGATCGAAGAGAAGAGAAGGAGGAAGAAGATGACACGGAAACCTTGATCGTAGTAGTGGAAGACTGCCCCCTATTCAAAGAGTTTCAGGGAGATACCGTCGGGGAGTCGTTCAAGGAACGACTGAAAGAGATAAAAGTAAAACTCATCCTCTCTTTCAAATCTCATACAGATGACGCATCAGGGACCTCATTAGATGAAGCAGCAAGACTGCTTGATGATGATGAGGGATGCATCACGATAGTACACCGGTGCCAACCAACCAGTAGGGCTTTGATGAAGTACATTCGAGAAAACGAGACACGAACTGCGCTGAATTTGGAATCAAAAAACCTGTCAGTCTCTGCAAACCCCGCCTCTATCGTAACTGGCATACCCGTCAAATACATTGACATCGAAGCCAAAGAATGCCCAGGACGACATTCTGGCTATGTGTGCTCGAAAACCAGCACGTGTGGGATCACCGCAAATGTTCTTTCTGCACTCTTCCAATCTAAATTCTTCGAAGAGAAAAACGAACCTCCTCATATTCTAGTTTCCGAAGAAGGCTTGCTAGAGCCACTGCGAATAAAAGTGGCGAATATCTGGTCTAACGTCCAAGTGAAACACCTTGAGAAAAAAGCACCAACGCTCCGAAGTCAGCAGTAGCGAAAGTTGCACTCACTGCTTACCGACGACCTCCACTAAAGGTCCAGTTCTTGAGTCGAGTAGTAGTAGCTATTGGAGTAGCTTGTGTTTTTGGATAGGACTACCATGAAGAAAGAAAATCTTGTGCTAGCCGAGACTCTTCCCACAGACCCTGAAAAGGACCGAAGCATTCTCCTTCGATTAGATGACCAGGAAATGTTCCTTGAGGTAAATCACTCTTTCCCAAAATCTAGCTCTCTCTAACTCTCTTAGACACAAATTCCTTGGCCATTTCATTTTCCGTAAGCACGGAACGAATTTTTAAATATTTATTATTGGGATTTACCTTGGAAGTAGTGAACTTTTAAACTTGACTGTTTATCAAATAGTTTTCATTCAGACAAGCAATGTCTCATGCATTGAATCTTAATTGCGCTTGTCCCCTACTCCAAAAGAGCCGTTTTCAGCTTTCCTTTAAGTCCCAATAGGACAATAAGCAATCAACACAAAAATTATTTTCGAGAAAGGAACTCGAGATTCTCAGTGAGAGAGCGATTATATCATGCTTCATGGAATAAACGCTACGATACTCTGTGTCATTCACATGAGTTAGACCATTTTAAACTTTACACACGTGCATTGGACGTTCCTCATGCATGAGTGTCAAAGTCAAGTGAAAGAGCGTCTGACTCAAGTGAAACAAACTGTAAATGAAATAACGCTTTACAGGACAGATCATTTTCTACAGCCTGCCCAGATAAGTTTTACCCATGAAAGTCATTCATCTGGATCTGGAACAATTTTGATCAATGGGTTGTTGGAACTGCTTATATGGTCTTGTGTTAATCATCCCTGTGTTGCAGGGCCCAACATGGAATGAGGTGGGAATGAGAGTCGGGGAGGAGGCTTTAAAGAAAGGGAACTTCTTCGACGAGAACACCGGTGCAATAATAGATGGAATCTCTCCTGCAACGTGGTCAGCAATCAATGAGAAGCTTTCTCCCACCTCATCCTCCCCTTTCACGGATTGGGGCTACATGTGGCAAGGTGAGTCCAGGATCCCAAGGAGAAATCATGCACACCATTCATGTAGTTAATGTGAAGTATTCATTGGGCGAGTGAGGTACTGACGGAGGAGGAAACCTTAATGGTTTCATACTGGTTCAACTCACATCATATTCCGGGCGTTTCCTCTCTGGCGTTGCTATTAACCCAAGGAGGATATATTTCCATGAATGAACGGATGATTCCATCAAATTTGTCAAAATGGATTGTTAGAAATTAAAATTCCTGGGCTATTGATCGAAGGTAATCCCTGAGCGTTGATCTTGTCGAATATCTTTCCACCACCATTTTGAGGTGGGCATCCAGTGACATCCAACTTCTTTTCGGGTTTCATTCCTATTAAAAGCATCAAAGGCTGCATCAATAGAGCTTGGTTTGCTTCCTTCGTTCCGAAATGTTTAATTAGTTTGCCTACGAGGGATGGGCTATACAGACTAAAAATGCATATCCCATATACCACCCAACGATCAAAGAAATCGTGAGAAGGAAATCATTCCACACGCGCCAGTGGTTGTTCTGCAGTTATGAGGGGTATATGGCCACAGTCCGGCGCCGTCGTCGCCTCTTGCCTCTTACCAATTTAAAGTGGTTTCATAGTGCACAGCTATGGAATCTTGTTCACCTGGAAAAACATCAGTCGAGCAGAGATCTTTCCAGGCTAGAGGCACTTTTGGACTTGAAACAAAGGGCATTGAATGCTTGCTAGATTGAATATGTTGCCTATTTTCCTTATCATATCTTATAGATGATCGTGACTGACTGACTGACTGAATGACTGACTGACGCTAATTCTAACCATGTTGGTCTTCCCAATCTTTAGACTTTGAACCATGTGTACATGGAAAATCCTACGTCTCAAGTCTTTTTTAGGCTGAAACCAGGTACATGCCCTGGGGGTACACATTTTGGGGGGAAACGTTTTTCTTCAATATATTTTGTGACAGATGAAGATGGCATTCAGAAAGTCAATTGGATGGGCAGGGATCGGTGGTGTAGTAGTAGCATCTCTGACTACCAAGCAGAAGGTCCGGGTTCAGTTCCTGGTGATTCCTTGGCTTCCTTTAGGCTTTTATTGCCTTCTATGTCCCGTTACTCATTCCCCCACAATAACATTATTTTTGCTTGAGTAAAACGGAGAGTCATGGAAAGCTGAAATTTGGCCTGTAGGTGCCTAATGAGACTATGAGTTCAGGAAAAATGAAAAATTTTAAATCCATCCCTGGGGCATATTTGTAGGCCGACCTTTTCAAGTACTTTTTTGTTCTGGCGTATTAAGTGGTGTGGAAAGATGAAACTTGGTAGATAACTACCTATTGGGATGATGCAGAAAAAATTAGACTTTAAACATAAATGCCCTACAAATTTCAAAGGGAGATTTTTTCAACTAATTTTTTTGCATCATTTAAACTGAGGAACATGGAAAAATGAAACTTTGCATGAATTTGATTGCTGAGACAAAGAGCTACATAAAAATGTTAAGTCTCGATACATCCCCTGGTGGAATTTTTTTAATGGGGGGATGTTTTGAAAAAAAAAATTGTTGTGGCGAATTGGACAGAAATGGAAAGGTGAAACTTGGCACACGTATAACTGACATGATATTACTGAGCTGAGGGAGTGTTCAGCTTTCATGGTGCATCCCCTCCGAGCAAAGCTTTTAGGAGGGTTCGCTTCTCCAAGCATGTTTTTTTCACCTGTGAGAAGGGCAAACGTATAATATTGAAACTTTGTGGGTATGTAGTTCACCGGGCAGACATACAAAAGTAGCTGGTGCACCCATCACTGACGTGATGCTGATTTAAGGAAAACTTAATCTTTTTCTATACATCTCCTCAGAGCACAGCTTTTGGGTGGGTCCATTTTCCAAAGACATTTTTTTTTTCCGCCAGCAAAAAGGGGAAACGTGTAAGGTTGAAACTTTGTGGCATGGAGTTTCCGGAGTCTACATTGCAAACGAAAAAAAAATTCGTTAAAACCCATTAGGGCCCTTTTCTCAGTCCCATTTTCTGATCTTTTGTTGATCCAACGAAACAGAGACAGAAAATTTAAGCTTCCCTCAGAAGTACCTGTTTAATGGCTGGGTAGGGGAAAAATCATAATTTTGAAATATGCCTCATTAGCGTAGATTATTGGAGGGAAGTATTTCAAAATGTATTCTCCATCCTTACAAAAAGGAACGCAAGAAATGGTTTCAAGTTTGGCACACAGAATCACAGAGGTAATGATTTTGATGAAAATCAAGACTTTCGACTCCATATGTCACGTATTTCAATGGGGACGTGCTTTAAATACGTGTTTCCCATTTCGGAAAAAAATGAAAGAATTAATCACTATCCAAGGTAATAGAGCGCCGAAGGCGCGACAATAGTGAGTTTGTTCACCCGAAGGGCAAACAAACTCGCTAGTACCACATAACAACGGTTGCAACCATACTATTATGGAGAAAATAGATCTCATGTGGGAGATCAATCCATACGTCCATGCGTTTAAGATGATGCGTGAAATGTAATTGGAGGAAGAGTAAAAAGCTATTAAGAAGGGCGAAAATTTCATCCCGTCGTCATGTCCATGGGGCTGTCCAATCTTGCAACAAGCAATGCTACAACGCATCGAAAGCGAATGAAGTGGCCATCATTTTACCGAATGGATGACGAGGTACCACCGTTCGAGCGCGACATTCACATCCACTCCAGGGCCACACATGCCACAGGGTTTCTTCCTGTTGATCACATTGAGCTGCAACCCCAAATGCCAAGAGATTACAGAAAATCTCGAGCTGGGGCAAAGTGCAGAACCTAGAGTAGATCTTACAGCATGTGTTTTCAACCTAACAAATTGAAACATCTCTCAGATGACATTGCTGAGAAACATATATTCGGTGTATCTGTGGCCCGAATACACGTGATCGAGTTCCAGGAAAGGAGACTCCTGCTTGCCCACCTCTTATTGATCCTTCAGGACCAGACAAACCTCGATCGAGGAATTTCATCGACAAGATTGTGGCTGCGGAATTCCCAGAACCTGAAACCAATCCTCGGCGGCATGCGACACTAATGCGGAATATGATTTATGGGCCATGTGGCAATTTGAATCTTCGACCTCCCAGTATGTTCGACGGGAAATGCTCCATGAGCTTTCTGAAACCCTTCGAGCTAGAAACTCGAGAGAATGTCGGCGGGTATCCTTGGTACAAACGACGTGACGCTGGGAAATCTTATCGAGTCGGGGATGTTCTCATCAACAATGTATGGGTAGTGCCTTAACCCATTTCTATCTCTCAAGTACAACTACCACATCAACAAGGAAATCTGCGCCACCATCAAAAAGTGTTTAAGTATCTCTTTAAATATGTCTACAAAGGGTATGATTGTGTAAACGTAGAATTCACAGACAAAAATGTATTCATTCATGACGAAATTAAGTCGTTCATGGATTCCTGCTACGTAAGCGCCCTGGAAAGCATTTGGAGACTTTACGTTTTTCATATGCAGGAGCAGTCTCATCCAATAGTACGGTTAACTGTACCTCGTACACCTGGAAAATGAACAGTTTGTATACTTTCAAGAAGGGTTTGAAGAAGAAGCGTCCGAAAGATAAGTGATCAGAGGCACTACCCTCATTGATTGGTTCAAACTGAATGGTAATCAGGTAGTCAGGACTACTCAGCATCTGTACAGGGCCTTCGAGGTAAATCCGGAAATTTGACTTGTTTACTTACAGCGACGACGTCAGCGCCAATTTTGCGTGTGCGACACGCCGCGACAAGGTAATTCAAGAAGTAATTCATCGCAACCACCGAACAGTCAACAACCAGTGATGAGCCGAGAATACGAGCAGAGGGCGGCGATACTCGAATCGCTTCGCGCCGGCAAATTGCCCAAGGAGATAATCGCATGGTTTGGCTGCAAGAAGACGCAAGTTTGCGCCATAGCCAAGATGTTCAGGGAGTCCGACAACAAGGAGGAGGTTACTGCTGACCGGGCAACACACAGCAAGCGATCTGATCGCAAGAGAAGTGACGAATTCGGCCGCAAATTTAAGGAGAAGATCGACCAGGATCCTGGGCGGAACATGAATGACCTGGCAAAAGAAATGGGCGTGGCGAGGTCCACAATCAGTCTGGCAGTACGCAAGGACCTGCAGTGCAAGTCTTTTGTCCTCAGGAACCGCAAACTGTTGACTAAAAAGAACAAGATGGACAGGAAGATGAAGGCCCAGGCTCTGCTGAACGACATGAAGTACGGCTGCGTCGGCTTCCTGAGGTTCTTATCGGACGAGAAGAATTTCATCCAGGAAAGGAAGGTGAATCGCCAAAATGACCGTTGGAATTGCCACAATGCCTCTGAAGTGCCTACCGTCATGCATACCAAATTTCCCGCGTCGGTGATGGTGCTGGCGGTCGTGAGCAGCGAGGGGGACGTCATGGTGCCCCACTTCTTCGAGGAGGGCCTGAAGGTTAACGAGTCATCAGCAAAATGCATTCTAATAGTCCCACCAAAGGCGAAATATATTTCCTGCGTCTTCTGCTGCTAAATGTCCGCGGAGCTACCAGCTACCAGAATTTGCGAACTGTCGACAGTCATCTGTATGACACCTACCAAGAAGCAGGAAGTGCTCTCCACTTGCTGCGGGACGATGCAGAATGGGATGAAACTCTCACTGAAGCAGAGCTTGGGCAAATGCCAAGCCAGCTACGACAGTTGCTTGCATTCATATGCATCTCTGGTCCCCCTCCTGGAAATGCTGAGATTTTGTGGGGCAACCACAAAGAGCACATGGTCGAGGTCTTTCTTCGTAATGTCACGTATTAAAGTGAGGATAGTCCCAACATTAATACTTGACGGGGATTCTTAGGTTTGGGTTCGGTCCAGCAAACTCAGGAAAGGAAACTCCCTTTTCACTCTCATAGCAAAGTGGAATTTATGTTCCCGTTCTCTACCTCCTTGATCGATCCCAAGGCCATGAAATCAAAACCCACAAGAAAAAGAAAGAAAGGACAGGAAACACGCAAACAGACACAACACAAGGAACACAGAGAATGGCCGCGGACCCAAGGAAAATTTACCCCAGTGAACTATAAACTACGAAAATGGACTATGTCCCTACAAAACCTCCCTCCCAGGCCCACCCAACACGTTACTCTCTGCCTTTCCCATTCACACTCTCTCCCTTCCCGTTCCCTTCTCTCTCTTCTTCCTATATCCCCCGCTCCCTTCCCAGTTTGGATGTTCATCCTTCTCTTGGGACGGGACCCCTTATTGGTCGATATTCACTGTATGGACGTTCGCGAGTGGGAGGTACTGGAAGGCGTGCCTGACACAGTGTATATGATGAGGATGAGTTATAAAGGCGTCTTCTTGTTTGTAATTATTGGGAATTATGGGCTTAGCTGTCAGGACACTGGATCCGGAGAAAGGGTTGTGAGATTCTTAAGATGAAGTAATTTTGAGTTTTTCGAAGTTTCCCTCAGTTCTCNTTCTTGTTTGTAATTATTGGGAATTATGGGCTTAGCTGTCAGGACACTGGATCCGGAGAAAGGGTTGTGAGATTCTTAAGATGAAGTAATTTTGAGTTTTTCGAAGTTTCCCTCAGTTCTCTCCAACCTATATAACTCCCCGTATGGATAAAATAATATAACACAAGTGGGTCGAAAGGGCAAAGGATGGGTTGGTGTGGAACTGGCTGTAAACTGATGAGAATGGTTCCTTCGGCATCCTGCATCTCTGGGTACAACACCCTGGTCCCACGGGAACGTCTAGGGCCCCATTGCAAGAAGTTCACGTCACGGATGACTTCTGAGCCTGTTGCATGGTGGGGAAGTTAGGAATGAGGTCAAAGGATGGGCCGCGTATTTTCTATATGCTTCAATTAGTACGAGAAGCTCGTTGCAGAGGTTAAGGCTACAAGGTGAAGGAGCAGAAATCAATTGGACAGTCATTTGCCACATCACCCATTTGAGAAGTAAGCATCGAGAGCAATCAGTTACCTGTGTTTTTGTAGTTGGCTAAGCAACAGGAAGAAGAAAAAATGTCGTAGCGGACTGTCGGTTCTGTCACATGCCTCCCCCCTAGAGACTCCCAAAAAGAGTCTCCCAAACCGAAATGACCGGTAGAAGAACCATTCTGTAGGCCTCGTATAAGGTGGATGGATTATATTTTGAAACTTTTGTCACTCGAGACTCGACATTCCACCTGCCAGGTACATCCAAGGATGCTCCTCTTGTAATGATAGGTACGGATAGGGATGGCGTGGAGAGGAACGATTGAGTGTCCATTCAATCATTCCTCTCCATGACTTCGGCGGTATAGTAGTACGGTAGCACACCTGACCGGCAATCAGGAGTCCCAGGGATGGGCGGCCATGAGAATCGCTGAATGAATGAATGAGATTGGAGGTCGCGCCTGAATTTCTCCACCCCCTTTGTTATGATAGATTGACGATCTCTCTGCGCTCGCATGTGTTCCATACGAGCGAGAGAGCGTGGGTCTTCTCGTCCTTTTCCATTACGTATTCTGGTTTTTCTCCGATTAATTTCCCTCCTGAATCGTAATAACGTCGACTGTTCAATTCAATGGCTATCTGTTACTGCTGCCGTGTGAAGTCTCCCAACATTCCAGTGCTCCGACTTGATTAGTACAAGGAGCTCGTTGCAGTGGTTTAAGTTACAATGTTAAGAGCAGAAAGCGTAGCCGCTGGACAGTCACCATTTTACCCAATCGACTGGAAGCATCGGGAGCACCCAATGTTATCTGTGCTTTAGTTTGTCAAGCAACAAAAAGAAAAAAAGATGCAAGTGCATTGCTAATACTACCCTCTGCCCGTGTAGACGCAACAGGTCATACACGTTCTCCTGCGTGGTCGTTCAGAGATAGAACTAATAAAGAGCAAGGGATAACCCAAAGCCACCTGATTTTCCTCGTGATTGAGGAGATATTCTCCTCTGAACAAGCACGTAAATCCACAGCTCAGATAAGCATGCATAAGGATTCACCCTTGTAAGTTGAAGGTGCAGGCAATAGCGAACTGTGCACTATTATCCAGGACCTTGAGGTTTGGCAAATTCAGTTTAAATGGCAGGAACAACTTGCATGCGGAAACCAATAGGAGTCAAGCGTGAACACCGATAAGAAATAAAACTGAAGATGGCACGCCCTTAAGAACAGCATTGGCATGCGTGCTGGAATCTGAAACCATACTGATTGGTATCATGGCTGCTCTTCACCATTGATTCCTGTGATTTTCCCGATTTGTCATCTCAACATTCTCCTAATTGCTTTCCTGATGGATAGCAGCCACGGCATAGTAAACGTAATCGGTCCTCAGAGTAACCCGTAGTAACCCGACTTTGAGTCGCCCCAAGACTATTTCCTATCATGCATTCGGATCCCAAACTTCAGTTTAGGCTAATGGCAGCTAAGGACGACCGGAAGTCGGTCCTAACAGAATGTGGGCGATTCAGGTGCGAAGTGATTCATAGAGTTTCAAGCGGGCCTCTGCAGTGAATTGCTGGGGTAACGGATCAGGTACCGCGGGATCATTGGAGCATTCCCAAAGAACGCGGAGGCTTGACCCGCCGTGACCCGCCATCACCTCTAACACATACCTCGTTATCGCCCTCCATCCCCTTTAGCCTATGTTCACCTTAGAACATTCACTCGATATTCGATTGGCTTTATGCTTTTGACCTGGTGTAAAGTGGACCCACTGAGATCATTCAAGGACAGCGTAACATTATACCCTTCCTAGGCCTAGCAACCCCAGCAACCCCAGTCGGGAAACTAAGGACCCTAGGCCTCCTGCATCGTGGCTACCATCCACCATGTTCGCCTCAGCAAGAAAATTGGGAACGAAAATTAGCGAAAATCACTTTGGAGTGAATGAAGAACTACCATGATACCATCCATGGTCTCTAAATGAAGCATGCCCATCTCACTACGCCACGAATCGTTGTTTATGCGTCGTGATATTAACCAGTATGGTTTCCTATTGCAGCACGCATGCCTTTACTGCTGCTATGGGCGTGCCAACTCCAGTTCTACTTCCTAGCGCAGTGACGACTCACGCCCATTCACTTCTCTGTGCATTCTCTCGACTGAATTTCTGCGTTTTTTACTTCGAATGGTGCGTTGCTGTGCATTAGGACGAGAAAAAACTCCCCGCAAAAAAATATATTCATGCTGTTTTGTCACCCCACAGATTAAGAATCGGAAGTGTCAATTGTGCAGGAGGACTACTTGATGACTCCACGAAACCATACGAGGTGAGCTTTAATGCTAGACCCATGTTGACTGATCAACTGATGACTGATCAGTTAACTCGTGACAATAGAAAACCTGCTCCACCTCTATCGCCAAAAACTAAATGACTGAAACAGTTCTTCCTTTGGAAAAATCCCCCCCCCCCCTCGCGATTGGTAGCAGTAGTCTTAATCTATTCTCTAATATTAATTCCAAGAGGTGAAAAATAATTTAAGCCTTGGCATGCCCAGGGAAAAGCGTTGAGAGTGTAAATAAAGTATTCTTTTGTGTAACAATTTTGTAGGATAGTGACTCGGTCAACTACATAAGTTATCGTCGCGTAACACATAGTTGTAGATAATCAGAACTATCATTTATTTGACGGAACAAGGGAGAGCTAGCGCTGAAGGGAAGGGGGAGCAAAGTAATGAAAAAGGGCTGGTTAGGCATATATCCTCGGTCTCTCTCCCCAAGATGGGAACAAAGAGTGGAACACATCCGAATCAGGGACCCCTGGGACGACAGTACTTTGGACCCGAACGATTTCCTGAATCCCAGAGCTCTAGAGTGCTCACCACACTTCCGATTGTTTGAGCCGTTGATAGTTAATGTAGTAATGTGAAACCAAATTTTCAAAGGCTTTCCCAGTCTTCAAACCCCCCCCCCCCCCCTCTTTCTCTACGGGAGAGTCACTAACGTTAGGCTTAGGCCTAACCAACAGGCTGCCTTCAGGTCAAGCCAAGACTTACCTTTTTTCAAGATTCAAGATTCAAGATAGTGATATCAAGAGGCGATTTCGCCCATTTCGATATCACGTGTCGAGGTCGAGCGTCCCTTAATTTTA